TAAAAAACAAAGTCAAATGCTCAAGCATGAATAAGGCGTCCTTGTTGATTACGCCTTTTTTCTTGCATCCCACATCAATTAGTAATGGCGGCACTTTGTGAAAGACAAAGGAATCCAGAGATGAAAGTGATACCGCCTGCCTTTGGCCGCTATTTCTTTCACGCATTACAATATAACACCATTTATATTGACTTTGCTTAGAGGTGGGAATGTCTGGTAGACTATGAGTGTTATGCATCAATCTTAGTAAGACAATTCTCTTCTTTATTTCTTTGTTCTCTCAGAAATTGTTAAAATCATATCAGAACACCCATCAGCCTTACGAAGCGGAACAATAGATTTTCTTGTTAAAGGTTTCTTCTCCATTCTCCCTCCTTTACTCTCTAATCAGTTCCCAAAAGTCTTTCCTCCGTCACGATGAAGATTTTTGCTCTGATTTTTCAAAAAGGAGATGTAATCGAGTTACTGCAACAGTGATGAATTATTTATAGAAGAACTAAGGATAAAAAGATGTTGATGTGAAAATATATCGCGTATGTGTATCACTCGTTGTTGTGCATTGCTTGAAGTTGTACATGTACTTCTTATCAATGATCTTTCACTGGACCGCTATTTTGTTGCCTTTATTCCTTCAATATTTGCCTGAGTTACTTTTATCATTTCTTTCATCGACCATTTCAAGGACTTTTTCAAAGCTTCATTAGTCTTCTTACAGATGGCGGATGCTAATAACTTTGCATCCAACGTTGAAGCTGTTTTACAAGATGCGGCAGCATTACAAGCTTTTCGAGAATGGATTCGTCTTGTAAGTACCACATAAATTTCTCACTTTGAAAAATCATATTATTATTGAAATGCATTACTCTTCCCATAGCTGAAAACATGAATGAATTGCTCACCCTTTGTGATACTAGAAATGAAGTTATGATTGAAATGCGCTATTTCTTTCTTGGCTAAATAGGAAATCAGATGTTTACTATTGTATTATTTGTTCATCAGATTATCTAGAGAGACCGAACTTTCAAAATTCTCCAGATGGTTTTTCCTCAAATGATAACCTGCATTAGCAACATCGCGTTTTGTGCGATCTCTGACGCGATGGGCTTTTATCCTGACAATGGCTGCACATCTGCTCAATAGACAAAATTTTGGGTTTTTTGTTTCCAGAGCATCTTTATAGCTAATGTCGATAAAGGCAATAAATTCCGAGCTATGTATAAAGTGGCTATCACATTCCTTATCAGCGCCCTGACGTACTCTCACATTTAGTGCAGCATTTAGCAAGACTAGAAAAAATACTCAACGAATCGATCAAAAAAATCTTTGACATCCGCTTAGAAAGAAAGTCTCTAAGGCAGTTTTGTGGATTGTAAAACATTTTCGAAAGGCTTATCGTTGGAACTGTGTACAGAACTCAATTTTTGGTCTTATTCTATAATGGGCAAAACTTATAAAAAAGAGTTACAAATGTATTGGTATATCTGAGACATGAAGAATAAGAGATTGAGTTAAAATTGAAAAACTTCATCTATGTCGATTTCCATGTGGTTCTTAGCCTCAGCTAGGAGAAATTATTCCGAAGCTTCCCAACTTCTATAAGTTAGACAAATTTAATTTTTCCTTCAGGATCCATCTCGACCGGCTGATTGCCTCACATTGTATTTTGCCATAAAAGGATACCAGACGTTCCTTTCCAAAAACGATCCAAACACTTCCAGTATGGCTTGCACATTACATCGAAAGTTTATTAGGTTGGTGCTGGTTGGAACTGCCCAAGGACATTAGTACTAGTAAAAAATGTTTTCAGTCAACGTACGGGTACTTGTTCGTTCCTTCCCGCGTCTGTACGGAAGGAAATGTCTACACGGGTGCATTCTCTCAACAGTCAAAATCCTCCCTATCCTGAACTGTTCGATCCTGTGCAGCCAGCGCTGAGGAAGCAACTTGATGCGCTTCATGCGCAGTTCGTTTCTTCTCATAGTTTCTTGGAGGTAATCAACGAAAAACTTCCATGTGGCTTCAAGTAACTACAGTATTGTTACAGTTTATCGCTCGAAGTGGCAGCGAAGGTTCTTCCTCAGCTACGCCTGAAGATGACTTCAATATGCTTCCAACGAGCTTTGCGCCAACTTCGACGATGATTCGCGATAGTAGCAAGAAGAATAAAGGGTGAGAAAAATTCGTTTCTGTATGTACTTCATCACTAACTTATGTTAATCGAGACAAAGAAAATTTTGAATCATATGTCTCCTTCAATCACATATCCTTTAGGTTCAAAACTCGCGCATACTCGTGTGATGCCTCGACCAGCCGTGATAATGATGACAGTGCTCGAGGCATTATCATCGACCGAGAGAGACACCTGTTTAAGGTGAGCATGTTAACGCACTTTGTGGTGCCAGGTAGTAAATTATTAGGCTAATGCACAATTTTCGCACCCAAAGTGGATCTTCTCTGGAAGACATCTTTTGACATGATACAAAATAGAAATCTGCTGTTTTCAAAAGGTTGAGTAAAATTCTTCGTGGCGTATGGTACTACGAGGTGATATTCAAAAAGTGGTTTCTAGATTTTGTCGCTAAAATTGCTATAACGTTTACTGAAATACAGGTTTTTAGCCTTGCTTCATGACTTACTTTCTAACTAAGAAAATTTCCTGGTAACTCCTTTATAAATCTTCTGAAATATGGATAAGTACATCCAATATGCATAAGAAGGAGCATATTGTAGAAACAAATTATTCTTTGAGCACTTCAACAGTCTTACATACTTGGGTGCAAGAACTATGCATCAACCATAATCTTTTCATGACATGATGTTAGGCATGAAAAGAAAGTCAGGAAGGTCGAAAGCAACCAAAAAATTTTGTTGAACGTCGAGGAGTGTTGGTGATCATGTAATGGTATTGAACTGGCGTTTAGGAAAATGTAAAGGGATAGAGAAAAACACAATCAACTACACTGAAGATTATAACTTTGTAAGGATGTCTCCCCCCC